GTACGGGTACGGGTACGGGGCGGGTAAGTACATACCCGTACCCGTACCCGTACCTGATTTAATATATCGGGTTTTACCCGTACTCGTACCCGGTCAAACCAGATATTTTCCTTTAAAATCGGAACGAGTTCGAGTATTACCCGCAAATACAGGTATATTTGTCATCCCTAATCTGAACCCATCGTCGCCGGGATGAGCCCTGGTGCCAATTGGGCGATACAAGAGTCAAACTCATCGTGAACGCAACTTTTTATTTCTTTAAGATTTTCTCAATATAATAATATAAGGAAAGACAAAAATATGTCTTCCATAACTTTCCTCCGCCCAAATTGGAGTGACGAAATCTTACATGCGTGCGCATACTTGTTAATTCAGCCACTTTTTTTTAATTATTGATAAATAATTTTAATTATTTATTTTTATTTGGATATTACAATAAAAATCAGTTTTTATACTTTAATTAAAATCAATTTTAAGAAATCTTTTTTTGAAATAATATCATAAATCTCAAATTTTCAGACTCATAACAGTAATCTATTTTTCAGCTGAAAATATTTTAAATTTTCAATTATTATCTCAATTTAACATACCACTTATTTTACAAATAATTTTCTTTCTCATAAAAAAAAGTCCAAAATGTTGATCATTAAGCTTTTTTGCTTTTCAATTTTTTATTCAGCAATTGTGTTTCTCCATTATTTTATCACATATCACGTTTACATGAATTAACTTCTTTGCTTTTTGGTACAGCAATTAATTTCTTTGTTTAATCATTCTCATCTCCAAATCTAATATTCACCAAGAAAAAGGTATAAAGCAAAACTTTTTATTTTTTATTTTTTATTATTTTTTATTTTTTATTTTCTTATTCGAATTCAATTTGCTTTTGCTTTATCTCGTGAGATTAATGAACAAGTGATGACGTCTCAATTGTCAGACTGTATATTTATTAAATACCTTTAAATAAGTTTATGTAAAAGTGTTTATAGATTAGAAAAATAAGAAGAAAAATTAAAATTAATTTATGTGATAATTAAAAATAAGATTTTAAAAAAATAAATGAGATAAAACTTTTGCACAAAAAATTATATACAAGTTAATTTTAAATTATAAAGAAACTCATTTTTTCTTTTCTTTTTTTTATAAAAAGAAATTTTTATAGAGAAATTTAAACATCATTTAAATAATACTAAGTGATGACTATTGACTTCAATTTTCGTTCTTACTTTGTAACTTCCAAATCTTAATCACCTTTATGTGGGAAATTCCTTGAAGCTTCCTTCATTTATTTGATCCACTAATCTATGGCCCCTACTTTTCTCACCAACCCAAAAGCCATGACACTTTTTTTTTTTTTTTTCATTATAAAAGAGTAACATTGCTTCACTACTCAATGTCATTCGGCAACACTTTCTAAGTTTTAACTCTACTATCTTAAATTTCATCATAGAGATATGGTCCAAGAAAAGAAACTAGTGGATGAGGTCTCCGGTTGGCTCAAAATCTACGACGACGGTTCAGTGAACCGGACATGGTCCGGCCCGGACCAATTCAAGTTCATGGCCGAACCGGTACCTCCTCACGAACAATTCGTGGACGGAGTCGCCACCCGTGACGTCATAGCTCACGATGGCTCCGGCCACCGTGTCCGCCTTTACCTGCCGGAGAAGGCCCCGAAAGACAACCAAAAGCTGCCAATTCTCCTCCATTTCCACGGCGGCGGCTTTTGCATCAGTGAACCGGACTGGTTCATGTACTATAATGTCTACACCCGGTTCGCCCGGTCCACCCGGTCCATTGTTGTGTCTCCATTTCTCCGCCGTAGCCCGGAGCACCGCCTCCCTGCCGCCATCGATGACGCCTTCGAGACCCTCTTGTGGCTTCAGTCCGTGGCCCGGTCCGGTTCACGCGAACCGTGGCTCGAGCAACACGCGGACTTCGACCGGGTTTTCCTCATAGGAGACAGCTCGGGCGGGAATGTGGTGCATGAGGTGGCTGCGCGGGCCGGTTCGGTTGACATGAGCCCGGTTCGGGTCGCGGGAGCAATCCCGGTTCACCCCGGTTATGTTCGGTCGAACCGGAGCCGGTCCGAGATGGAGATGCCGCAGACGCCGTTTTTAACGTTGGACATGCTGGACAAATTTTTAACATTGGCGCTGCCGGTCGGGGCCACCAAGGACCACCCCATAACATGCCCGATGGGTGCGGCGGCGCCGCCACTGGAAGGGCTGAAACTTCCGCCGGTGCTGATGTGCGTGGCGGAGATGGACTTGATCAGGGACACGGAGATGGAGTACTATGAGGCATTGAAGAAGGCCAACAAAGATGTGGAACTTTTTGTTAGCATTGGGATGACACATAGTTTTTATCTCAATAAGATTGCTGTTGATTTGGATCCCAACGTTGGTGCCCAAACTGAGGCTCTCATTTGCAAGGTCAAGGACTTCATTGAGAAGCACTGAATGGGTTCATGTTTTCGTACCTAGTTATTATTCTGTGGAATCGATCTTAGTTGCATGTTCATCAAACTAGAGCTTGGTTTTCTTTGTCCTACGTTCAATGGGTTGTTTAAAATGTTATTAGAACAACACATTTTATGATTAAAATAAAATATAATGAATAACATGAATGAGACAATTAGAGCCATATAAATTTATATCAATATCAATATTAGTTGGAATAAGTAATAATAACTTGTATTTCTTAATCTTATTTAAGATTTAAAATCTGATCTTAGACATAAAATAAATTATATTATTGAAGAAAATATTTACAATTTTTAATAAATATTATTATTATTTTTAGTGATGAATAATTTGTATAAATATTTTGATCATCAAAGAATAGTTATTATATAAATAATATATACGAATAGAAAGTTATCATTGTACTAAGATAAATAATATATTATGGTTTATCTCGTGATAGGAGGTTAGTAGTATATATAAGATACAAACTTTGACTCTCCTTATTATAATTATAATTTATACTAAAAGTAAGAAAGGAATTTTAATTTTTGACAAATCATAGGTAACTTTTATGGGAATGTTCGAGTGGATAAGATCATTACCAGCAGAAAAAATTCGCCTTTCAAAGTTAAGACATTAATATTTAAAATTCAAACTTAACATTACAACAAGTTAAAAATAGCTCTCTACCAATTGATCCACCAGAATCTAAAGGTTTTTGTATAGTTATTTTTTAAATCTTTTTCATAAATTTTGTTGATTCAATTTAATAGTGATTTTTAGTCACTAAACATGTTATTCATGCATGTATACTAATTTAAGTTGAAAAATATTTGGCCAACCTGTTCAAAATCCACTTGGAGACAGTGAACCTAAGCATCTTTTCTCTCCATGGTGACATTGACTAGATCAGACATGTATCGACGTTGAGATCGACGCGAGGTACACGCATCGACATAATCTTTATGAGTTTGTTTTGAGTTTGGACTGTTAGAAAATAAAATTTAATAGAGCACAATAAAAATAAATATTTATTTTTTATAAAATTTAATAGAGCACAATAAAAATAAATATTTATTTTTATCAATAAAACCAATATCAACAATATAATGAATATTATAAAATTAAAATAGAGTAATCAGTAACAACTAGTTAAACATAAAGAGTAAATAAAATTATTAGATAAGAAATTTAGAGTAGCCTGTGTTGAAGCACGCAGATCGCTATCCTTAGAGAGAAAACGTCCCCACTGCACTGGTAATTTAGAGTCTTTAAAGTGCGCTCCTCTCCTAAGATACGTCAACCCGTCAATAAAGTGCGCTCCTCTCCCAAGATACGTCAACCCGTCAGACAGTTCGAGTGCAGCAAAAGATCCCGAACCAAAGAACATCGCTCCAAAATTATAATATTTTAGTAGAAATAATATTGAGGGAGAGAGATCAAAAATGAACTTGCTGTATATTTTGTCTGTGTGTGTCGAGAACTGCTTTTTTCTCACGTACCGAAGTGTGTCTATGTGTACACTATTAGTGTATTATATACATAACGAAGAGTGCACCATCATGCCTCATTTTTCGGTAACAGCAAAAACATGGATACATGTGCTAACCAATTTGAAACCAAAAGCAATACGTGGTCAGGAAGAGAAAAAAACAAAACTGTACCATATCCATTTTGAAACGTTAAAAAAAATAATTATATTAAATATTTAATTTAAATTTTAAATTATAAAATAATTTTTTTCAACAGTAATGGCATCGACATAATCTTTATGCGTTTGTTTTGAGTTTGGACTCGTAATGGAAGTGTTCTTACCGAAAATCTGTTGTAGAGATGATGCTCCGAGTAAGATTGGTGAGCCTCCTTCGCTGGTACGCTTGATCTTCCAAGATGGGGGTGGTACCTGCAAAAGAGACTTCGATGCTAAAGATAGGGTTTGTATGAGTATGAGTCTCGTATAAATAATGCACGTGCCTTAGTGTGAATTAGGGTTGCTCTAGGCCCTGGGCCTGAGATGAGATATGATAAGATTAGATAATGGGTCTCGTCTGGAGCGAGATTCCTCGAGATCAGTTATGATCTACTTAAATGTCGAGCTGACATCGCGTAGCGCGTGCCTAAGGTCACCTTGTGTTGTGATACCAAGCTCGGAGGTCGGTTTCGCAGTACGGATAGTACACTAGCCCCCCGAGCTCTGAAGACCGTAGGTCGAGCAGTTAAGACCGAGCTCGCTGGAGGGAAGTGACCTTTCGCGTACGTTGGCCTGTCAAGGTGTCATGTGTCGTAACTGTCGCTTCTCATTTTGATAACCGAGGTCGGCGCGTTAATGGGCGCGACGGTTATGTAATGATGGCCTCATTTAATGCGTGATCAGGCGTGTCCCCTGGCTGACACGTGTTGTGGTCGTTCTTGGCGGCCAAATGGAGGACAATGCCGCTTTGAGGGTGGACCTCGCGAAGCTGGAGGAGGCCAAAGCGGGGCTGGAGAGGAAACTCGAGGAGACCGAGCACTCTGTTGTGTTTGAGCATAAGAGGGGTTTTCTCAAGGCCGCTCGCCAGGCCAGGCTCCTTGCGCCGAGGTTTGACTTCTCCGCTATGCATGTGGAGAAGGTCGTCTGCTTTGGGAAGCTGGTAAGGGAGGATGACGTCGAGGACAACTCCAGCGGGAATGCCTCTGCGTAGGCCAATTTTGTAATAGCTTAGCTAAGTTTTTTTTGCTTTATCTTTCGAATTCGAGTGTAGAACTCTGGAAATATCACTTGTATATATGTATTTTTGTCTTGTTGCATTTTTTTTTGCTTTTGTGTTTAAGCCTGATGTTTCTTTTTTGCGCGTTTTGAGAGATATACCTGGTATCTGTTGGAGGTTCAGACTCGACCTCGGATAGGAGTGTTGAGGTTCGTATTCGACCTTAAATTGGAGTAAAATGATTTTATTAAGGTTCGAACTCGACCTTGGATAAGAGTATTGAGGTTCGTATTCGACCTCAAATTTTAACGAGGTTCAGACTCGACCTCGAATAGGAGTATTGAGGTTCGTATTCGACCTCAAACTTTGACGAGGTTCGGACTCGACCTCGGATAAGCGTATTGAGGTTCGTATTCGACCTTAAAATTTGACGAGGTTCGGACTCGACCTCAGATAAGCGTGCTTAAGGTTCGTACTCGACCTTAAATTGGAGTAAAATGATTTTACTAAGGTTCGAACTCGACCTTGGATAAGAGTATTGAGGTTCGTATTCGACCTCAAATTTTAACGAGGTTCGGACTCGACCTCGGATAGAAGTATTGAGGTTCGTAATCAACCTCAAACTTTGACGAGGTTCGGACTCGACCTCGGATAAGCGTGCTTAAGTTTCGTACTCGACCTTAAATTGGAGTAAAAAGATTTTACTATGGTTCGAACTCGACCTTGGATAAGAGTATTGAGGTTCGTATTCGACCTCAAATTTTAACGAGGTTCGGACTCGACCTCGGATAAGCGTGCTTAAGTTTCGTACTCGACCTTAAATTGGAGTAAAATGATTTTACTATGGTTCGAACTCGACCTTGGATAAGAGTATTGAGGTTCGTATTCGACCTCAAATTTTAACGATGTTCGGACTCGACCCCGGATAGGAGTATTGAGGTTCTTATTCGACCTCAAACTTTGACGAGGTTTGGACTCGACCTCGGATAGGAGTATTGAGGTTCGCATTCGACCTCAAATTTTGACGAGGTTCGAACTCGACCTCGGATAAGCGTGCTTAAGGTTCGTACTCGACCTTAAATTTTAACGAGGTTCAGACTCGACCTCGGATAAGCGTATTGAGGTTCGTATTCGACCTCAAATTTTAACGAGGTTCGGACTCGACCTCGGATAAGAACATAAAATAAGAGTATGGGTTGAATAGAATGAGTCATTTTATTGATTATGTGTGCCTCGTTAAAAACCCTCTCAGTCAAAACAAAGACTGAGGCGGGAAAAGAGTGCACAACTCGTTCATACAAAATTAATTGAAATGGAACTTAAGGTGTGTAGCATTCCGAGTTCGCGAAATTAGCTCTTCGCCATGTTCTTGTAGTTGGAGAGCTCCGGTTTCTTGAGCTTTGTCTCCGGGCTTGCTAGCGGGGCTCGGCCTTTCACTACAAGGATCGGTCCTCGGGCCAAGGTCAGTGGCCTTCCTGCGGGTGATGTGAGCTATGGTGGGGGGGTCTCCTTTGATTTGCTTGCTGGACGAGGAGATCTTTAGACTCTCGGCGTAGCACTGCCGAGCCGTCTTCTGATTTGCTTTGACGAAGATGATTTTACCGTCGCTTCCTGGGAACTTCATGGTGAGGTGCGGAGTGGACACCACTGCCCCAAGCTGGTTCAATGTCGGCCTCCCAATGATGATGTTATAGGAGGTGTTGGCCTCCACAAGGAGGTATCGAACCATGATTCTCCTTGTATCCGGGGAGCTTTCGAAGGTGGTCAGTAAGTCCACGTATCCTCGAGTGTGCACTCGTTCTCCTGCGAAACCGACTAGGGGCTCCGTGTGAGGTTGGATGAGAGAATGGGGGATGTCTAGCCTGAGGAACATCGGCCAGTACAGCACGTCGGCTGAACTCCCTTGGTCAATGAGTGTCTTCTGCACTTCCCAGTTGGCTACTTCTACGATGATGACCATGGGATCATCTTGGTTAGGGCTGACGCCTGCGTAGTCCTCGTCAGAGAAAGAGATCGGCGGTGAGTTCTGGTGTGAAGCCGAGGTAGTAGAGTGGACGCAATTGATGTTCCGCAGGTGTCTCCTTCGGGCCGAGCTGCTAGCGCCTCCCCCAACGAAACCACCTGCAATTGTGTTGATTACTCCTCGTAGGGGAGTTGACCCTGTTTCCTGGGTTATCTCGGCTTGTACTATGCCGCTGGAATTTTGTTGGCAACCCGAGGGTTGGTTCGTGCGAGCTCCCGAACCACGACCTCTGCCTTGCCCTCGTCCACCATAACCCCCTCGGTGAGCCTACTGTCGCTAGACGTACTGGCCGAGGTGACCTGCCTGGATGAGCTCTTCGATACGGTCCCGGAGCGTGCGGCATTCCTCTGTTGTGTGACCGTGATTCTTGTGGTACCGATAGTGTTTGGACTTGTCGGCACTGTTGGGAGTGTGGCCTGGTGGTGGAAGGGCGAGTAGGTTGCTGTTGCTGGCTTCCTCCAGGATGTGGACTCTGGGG